ATCATGCTTTGGCTTTTCGTTGAATGACTCCTCATTGTCTGCCGAGTAAAATCCAAGTTGCTCAGTATTCCTAGGCACACCATTATTATTTAGACATTTTCTAACTCCAGAACATTTCTCACTGTTCCTCTAAGCCACCCTCATGCCATGCCGTTAGACTCACTTGCAAGAAACACAAAATAAGAAAAGAAGTGATAAAGATATAATAGAGGTTTAAAGGATTATTACTAAATGTAAATATATTCTGTACTGAATTAACATTCATCAAACATTAAACATTGGATGTTATGCAAGTAGCAACATTCATTTAACCCCTTGAATTCCACTTGACATCCCATAAAATACATGTTAATATAATTAATATTATATCAAAGGCAAATGATATACTTACCCAGAAGGAGTGTAACCTGTATAAAAGGATCTCTATGTGAATAAATTTCCCTTTATTAGTATTTATGTTCCTCTGGAACAATAATTACAATCAGAGTTTTTCTCTTCCTAATTAAAAAGGAAATATAACTTAACAATAGTTTAGTGAGACACCTCATTATAAGAGAGTTAGCTGATTTTTGGAATGAACATTTCTATTGTGGCTAATCAGAAAAACAAGAATTTATAGCTCAGTAGTTAAAAAAAAAAAAAACCTTCAGAAATGTTTATTGTTCCAGTTCATTAAAATGTTATATCCTTGGACAGTATTTCTTAAAGGCCATAAAATTAATCGTGTATTTTAAAAGTTTTATTGGCATTTATTTCCTAAATCTAATTTAGCCCTAGTGTTTAATTGTGCTGTCTCATACAGCCTGGGAACCTGGCAGTTAAAATTACTCTTATGCTTTAAAAGAAAAACATTTTCCTTGAGGGCTAGCTTTCATATTCTTGAATGTGTTTATGTCACACTGTCTTGCGTTTTGGTGTGCTGAAATCTTGAGAATCTGTCAGAGCTAATCTGGATCTAGTATTTCTTTGTGTCTTAAAATTATGCTGAAATTTCGATTGGTAACTAATCATGCCCCTGGCCTGGCAAGATATATTCAACTAAAATTCTGTATATCAGCTACCAGGGTTAAATTTTAAATCTTTCACTACACAAAACAAGGGTAGTATGGTAGACTCTTTTTGAGTACCTGCAAGATACTGAGCATTGCATGGACTAGAGAAGTTTATAAGGCACCATCGTATCCTCAAATGTAGAATAATTCTAACCCTTACCACTGTGCCTTCTATAAATGTACTCTATAGTGTAATAAATAAACTCCTCTACCTCTCAAAGAACTTGCCTTCCACCTACTAGTCCCAAATAAAATATATCTATGCAATGAGATTACCTCTTCCCTTTTGATCTTCTTAAGTGGAGTTGCTTTTTCCCCCCTGGGCTCCTGAACCACAGGATATATATTGGGTGGCAATATTTTGCAGAAAAATTTCAGACTTCTTAGAGACATATCGTTCAGATGACTATCTGTCCTCATGATTGTTGACTTGCTAGACATCCTTGATAACCTCCCTTGAAGACTTATACTCAAGCTTGACCAACATTTTCCTCCACCCCATATCTTGCAATTTTAGTGTTTCCTGAACTGTTCTCCAGATGTCTTTACCTCATCAATCCTGAAGACCTTCACCCAATCCTGAGTGCCTCAGATTTGTTTTTATTTTATTAATGTTATCTTTTACTGAAGTGTTCCAATACCTTTTCTAGTGATGCCTTTGTATTTGTATTTGTCTTTCTCTCTATGTTCCATCCTTTACACAGCTATTAAAGTCATCTTTTTTTAGGCCGGGCATGGTGGCTCATGCCTGTAATCCTAACACTCTGGGAGGCTAAGGCAGAAGTATTGCTTGAGCTCAAGAGTTCAATATAGCCTGAGGAAAAGTGAGACCCTGTCTCTACTAAAAATAGAAAAATTAGCTGGTTGTGGTGGCTGATGCCTGTAGTCCCAACTACCTGGAAGGAAGAAGAATCACTTAGAGCCCAGGAGTGGGAGGTTGCAGTGAGCTACAATGACACCATTGCAATTCTACCTAGGGCTCATAGTGAGACTCTATCTTGACAACAGAAATACAATAAAATAAAGTCATCTTTTTATACAAAAATATTTTCAGGCTTTTCCTGGGTTTCAACATTTTACATCGTCTACCATTACCTAGCACAGTGCTTCACAACTCTCCTCTCTCATGGCTCACGTTGAAAGTGGTAATAAATGTCCATAAGGGGTAAACTTGGACCTGGAGGCCCCTAACCTGGGCCTCACGTTCACTGAGAGTATGTTCGTAGGGCCACTCCCATGTAGAGGGTAAAGCCCAAACTCCTCAGCTTAGGTGTCTTAATGAAGATCCTCCCTGGCCCTTTCTCTCCCAAAGCAGAGCCTGGAACAAGAACGTGAGTATAGATATTTGCAGGGGAAAGCCAGGTATTAAATGGTATGAGACATGAAGGGGAGAAGCCCTCTGGACAACTGGAGCTCATTTCCAGTGAGGACCCGCTGAGAAAATGTGTAGAACGAGCCACAGAATTGTTCCCCAGAAGGACAATAGAAGAGGGGAGTCTTTTTACAGACTCTTGTCTTGCATGGATTGTGAGTTGCATGTGGGAACCAACTCTTCTTTTCCAAGCCACACCTGCAGGGCATCTCAAAGATCTTTATGCTTCAGAGAAAGCCTTAGTTTTATTGGCTTGGGTGAGATAAGTGCAGTGACCTCTTTACCCCAGCTGCTCTGTACTCATTTGGGCAAGATAATATTGATGGAGCATCACAATTGTCTGGTATGGCCTACCTCTTGTACCACTCAGATCTTGTTGTGCTTCATGTTAAGACCACCTTGTCACTAACTCTTTAAGAAATGGCTGTTCATAATATATTGGAAAGAAAAAAAAATAAAAAAGAATAAGACTATGACCAGAGGGTTAGTGAACCAACTATAGGCTGTACTAATCTCAAGCTGGTCTTAAGGCTGTGATTGCAGCTCATCATCTCCTTCCTTTGATACTCGCTTCTGGGCATCCTGTTAGTCTCTCTTTGCCTCCTGGTCCAACAGCATGATCGGTACAAAGTAACCAGGCAGAGCTTCGGCTACAGGGGTGCCATTACCCTGTCCACTAGTGCAGTGGTTCTCTATTGGGGATGATTTTATCTTGCCAGGACATTTGGCAATATTTGGAGGTATATTTAGTTGTCGTATCAGGGACGGGGGTTGATATTGGCATCTAGTGGTTAGAGGCCAGGGATGCTGCTGAACACCCCACATTGCACAGGACATGCCTTCAAAATAATTATCTGGCCCCAAATGACAAGAGTGTCAAAGTTGAGAAACCCTGCCCTAGTAGAAGTGACTTTTCCGGAGACCTCAACTTCTGATCGCAGAGTCTAGAGCTATGGGGACACACAGTTCACTCAGTCTGCTAGTAGATCCCTGGGAGTGATAATGCAAAGGTTTATTCACTCCACGCCTTAGTTTCCAGATCTATGTATTCTAGTCACTGGGGGCACAACCCCAGATAGCATCCATTGGTTCAATGCACAAACCACATTGCAGAGGACAGTGTCTTTAATTGTCTAATTAAAGGATAGGAAGGCTGGGACATCTATCCACTCACATCTTGGGGCTATGGCAAGCCCATTTCAGGTGGGTTTGTGGTGTGGTTATGACACTGCACATCATAGCCATGCTGAATTCAGGTGGGTGGAAGGGACATAACAAGGACCAGAAGCATCTACTTTATGTAGATTATATTCAGAATATAAGGAAAGGGTTGTTTTCTTTTTCTTTATTGCCATTGTATTACCAGGTCCCACACAAGTGCCATGCATGTAGGTTCATATGAATGACTTAATATTTGTTGAATAAAGATGAAATAACTGAACATGAGTAAATAATAAATCAATGAATGAATGAAATCTTGCCTGAAATTTTTCAAGTTTTCAATAATTTCAAATATTGAATATTTTAGTGTGGTTATTGGTATTTTCTTCAATGAATTTCAGGATCTCATATCTGTGGCCTCCCTACAGAGGCCATAATGTTGACAGTCAGCATATCTCATATTTTGCTCTCAATGTTTCTCTTTTCTGGGTTTGATTAGCAGTTATCCAGTTTAAGATAGTATAATACTTACTTTTATATTCAGCATTCTCCTTTGCTACTGAATGATTTAGCTAACACATTCAGGAAGGTATTATTTGAGTTAAATTTTAAAAAGGTTAATATTTCAATGTGTGAAGAGGGAGTGTAGAAAAGATCATAAACAAACAAAAACATACGGAAAAGAAATCTCTGAGTGTGTTTTCAGGTAATTGTAGGTAATTAGAGCTTAAGATATGTGAATTTTATATATGAGAGTAAGAGGAAATCTTTGAAAATATAATTGGGGCAACAGTTTGCTAAGCCTTTCCATACCAGGCAAAAGCATCCTCATACCTTCACGAATAGTCCAGTTTACTGATTGTTCATGATGTCTTGTCTCTACAATTAAGCTCATGCTCTTTAACAGGGTACTATCTGTGTTGATCTCTGACCATTCTGTCCAAATCCTCATTTCGCATCACCCTCAATCAGTTCCAGCTCTTGCATGAGGTTCTTCCTAAATACTCATGTCCACAAAGACATATTCCCCAAGATTTTACACTTTGCAGTTCTCAATTCCCATTTCCCTCATGTTTGGAATTGTTTAACTTTTTATGATTTTCATCTTCACTCCCAGACTACATAAGAAGCCAAAGTCAACACTCTAATTCTTTCTTTCTCCTACATCAGCAAGCAGAATGCATGCAGTTTTCATCCTAGAGATTCATCTTCTGTTGAGTCCCTTTCCTCTCTTCCTCCTACCTTCTCTATCTCTTGCACACATGCTCTTTCTTTCTCCCCACCCCTTCCTCTCCCTCCCCCTCACACATACACATATACACCTCCTATCACCACTCAGTTTTTGCTTCTTTCCTGTATACTTTTGCTTTGAATTATTCCTGATGGAATCTTGTATTTGTCGGCTTATTTCCTAGATGGGCAGTGATGGAATTTTACGCCTCAGTACTTCAGCTCTAAATAATGAATTCTTTGCATATGCAGCACAAGGGTGGAAACAGCGACTGGCAGAAGGTAAATTTCTGGTTTTTATTATTATGCGACATACTGGAGTACACATACTGTACTGAGCTTTGCAGCTTTCTCTGATTTCCAAGTCTTTCTTTCCCCACTGAAATATACTTTAATTTGCTAAAAACTCATATCCCATTCCAAATTACTTCATTAATTTTTTTGTTATAGTTTGCATTTTTGATGTCAGATATTTTTGAAGAAAGCATAATTTTATCTTGGACATAATAAAAATTTTGATATAGCAATATTTTTTTTGAAATGGCCATTTTATTTGCATTGGTTTGATCTATTATCTATTTTCTTAAGTGTCCTGGACCCTAAAGAAATTTGTTTTAATACTTTCTTCCCTTGAAGCCACCACTTCATCTTAACCTTCCTTTAGTATCCTAGCTTTTTGAAAGACTAAAAAATAACTCAATGCTACCACCTTTTTCCTCTTAACATACTCAACTGAAATAGCCTTCCTAGAGAAAGAATACTAATGGTTTTCTACTGACAAATTCCAGTTTTTCTCATCTCAGTCTTTATTTCAAATTCTTCTGCCAACATCCCATTTGTTTTTTATTCCATCCAATTTGAGATCATCTCCCTTGGACATTCAAAACAGATTTTTAATTGTTTTCTGGGGCTGCATTTCTGACAGCACTTTCTCAGCTTCTGTCAGGAGCTCCTATTCTTCCATCTGACGGTAAGTGTTGCCATCCAGCATTTTGTTTTCTAACCATATATATTCTCTAAGCAGCCTTGGTCACCATCTTGGTTCCAACTATTGCCGATGTGTCAAGAATTTCCGAATCTGGCCCTGTCCCCCATCTCCTGATCCCCAGGGTTCTGTTTCCAGATCTTATTTGCTGATAACAGGCACCTGAAAACCAAAATGCCCAATATTAAATACACTAGCTTGCCTTCATACCTACTCCTTCTTCTGCTCTCTCTCTTCTGTAATGTCACCGTTGTCCTCATAGTTCCCTAGTTTGAAACTTTACAGATGTCCTTGTCCTTTTTTCCAGGCCTATCTGGTCATGAACTGTTACTTGATTCCTCTTTAACATTCTGCTGCTGCTGGTGGTGGTCAAGTTGTAATCTCCACCCCTTATCTGTGCTGTCTGCAGCCTCCTCGTGAGGGTCCTCCAATTTCTTCACCCTGCCGTCAGACCTAACTTCCTAAGCTGCTCGTGTGGCTGTATTCCTCCCTCACTGAGTGCCATTCGGGCCTCCCTCTCTTTCTTGTAGGAAAATGGAGAACTGTCTTTAAAACATGCATTGGGTAATTGGGCTCAGCTTTGCTTCACGTTTTATTTCATCCTATGTCCTGCTCATATTTGACCACTTGAAAGAACATAAACATGCACCCTTATTTCTCTGTGCTTTGTGATTAATCACTTTATATAAAGCCTGATCGTCCTCCACAAGCTTTACTCAAGAATCAGCTCCTGTATGTGGTCCTCTTTAATTATCTTAGGCAGAATTAAGTGCTTTCCTTTTTATACTTTCACTACGTTTATTCTTATGGCCTGTATAGGGCTTTTGACATTATATTATAGTCAACTAAGTGCCTCTATTTCCACCAGATCGATTTCCTTGAGGACAGCAGCTATACATGCTTATTTGCAGCCCCTAGCATGCAATATATTTGCTAAATGCTTTATAGTGTATACATAATGAAATGACTATTTGAATGATGTTCATAAAAAGAGAAGCTGTAGAAATGTCATCATTATTCATCCTTTTGCTTTTCAACATCCAGAAAAGTTTACTGAAAGGGATTACATGTTTTCGTTCTTAATTGGCCAAAGACTCGACCACTTTTACTCAATATATTAGCATTTTCTTTTCAGGAGAATTTACCCCAGAAATGCAGTTGCGGATAAGGCAAGAAATTGAGAAAGAAAAGAAAACAGAACCGTGGAAAGAAAAATTCTTTGAGAGGTTTTATGGAGAAAAGTAAGTACTAGAGTATTTTTTCTCATTTCTCTTACAAGGAAATGAAAATGTAATTCTCTGCTTCACATAGCACACTCATATGCTGTAAAACTTAATAAACCTGCGATAAAAAGCAATAGTCCCTCGGTGTAAGAAATTGCAGATAAAATTATAGTGGCATATCAGCACTTAAATTTTTTAAAAAATGCATTTTCAATGGTTTATAACTTGTTCATGAAAATTTATTTCAGGCTGAAAATAGCACATGAAATCCTATAGAAGTCATTTTAGTTTTCTTAATTTTAGTAAAATTCTCATTTTCAAATTTTTTCAGTAATGAATATAGATAAGTAGTTTTAGGTACATGTGCTCACACTTTTCCAAAAATATTGACTGTACGTAGGTATTTTAATTTGTGTTTAGTCTTTGTTTTAGGGAGAGCTTGAGGTATTATCCTTCACTTTATCATCTTCTTCAAGTATAATCTGTTCTTAATTTATTTGTGTATGTGTATCTGTGTTTCTTTTTTAAGTGATATCAGCCACATAAAAGTGTGACAGTAACTGAACTAACATGAATGCACTTTCATCTTTGCCTGACATTTAGCAGAGATGTATTCTACTTGGGCAAAATTAGTGTCTCTTAGACAATCAGATCTCTAAGAAAGGAGAGGTTTAGAAGCTAAATATTAACAATAACTTCAGATCCTCCTCAATGGAGGAGTTTGGGCTTGAGTTCACGCATAACACAATTAATGCTTGAAAGTTGTTATTTTGTTTAAAAGACACAGATGTGGTTGCAGGTAACAAAACCTGTGCCAGACATGCCAGAGGTCTCACATGCGACATCTCCATGAAAAGAAATCAGGTGATTAACAGACTGCTTGCAGCAGACACTCAGAATAGGCCAGCCTTGGTGAATTGTCTTACCTGGCAGTACTCCTGAGTAGGGAGGCCTGTTTTTATTAATAATTGCTGTGCCAGGATTCCTCGATGCATGTACAAATTTAAGCAAAACTAAATAGAAATGATGACTTTTCTCAAAAATTAAAAATGTGACAGGCTACTTGTATGTCTTCACATATCATCACCATCTATATCACTCAAGTCTTGCTGCATCAAAATCCTCACTGGAGATTTTAAAAATATATATTCAGATTCTGTATACCCATCCCAAAAATACTGACTGAGTGAGGATCTTCCAGAGTTGGTCCTGGGATTCTTTATTATTTAGAAGCTCTGCAGGTCATGCTGGTGCCCAGCAGGATTAGGAACCCTGGAGGACAAGATTGAAGACCATGTAGAGCCTTCCCTCTCCTTTTGTCTGTGAAAGGAAATGTCGGGGGTACTCATTTTAGTAATGGCAGAAACATAACTGAGTGAGTTACCTCCAAAGCATTGGTTCTTAATTTTGGTTGAGTAATGGACCCATTCTTTTATTAATTCAGCATATTTATCCAACATCTCTTCTGTGCCAGATGCTACTCTGAATGCCAGGGGTACAGTCCTCTGTAGGGATTCCTAGGCTCTCCCATCAGAGAGCCTCCATTGTAAGCCTCTCCAATGTAAGTTCCTCCAGGAACTTACATTGCAGAGAGCTTTTCTTCATTCAAAAATAACCATCGCACATACTCTGGCTCTGATATGTTTTTAAGAGCCTCGCAAATATTACTTCATTTAATCCTCCCAATAATTCTATAAGGGGGATGCCACTTTTTATTTTTTTATTTTTTTAAAAAGGATTAGGAAACTGAAAGAAAGTGAAGCTAAGTAATGTTCCCAGGTTTGCAATAGTGAGCTTAAGTAACTTGCTCAGGGTTACTGCAAATCCTTCTCAGAAAATTTTATACGCATGTGTAATTTTTTGCATGAAGTTTGGGGGCTTCACAAACTCCCATGGATATCAGATTGAGGGCCCATGCCCTAGAGGTTAACAGCTACGATACTATGAGTAAACATGACCCCTCATCACCATCATCAGCTCTGAATACAAGAAATTCTTCTATGTGACCCTTTTCTTCCTGTAGTTTATCGATAGCTTCTGTCCCCTTACATCACGGGACTTGTCTTTTCTTCTTTTCTGTCTTTGAATATGCACTGGATAGCAGATGTATTTTGGACATTTCATTGACTGCCCTTCTCATTTTGTTGCTCCTAGGTTACCTATATTCTCCCAATCTTTGAGGAATTTTCCTTAGCACCAGAGAGTTTGCAGTTGACTGACACCTGTGTGTTATCATTGCTCTTAAGTTTTTTCAGGAATTTTGCCCAACATTCAAACTTGTCTCCAATTAAGATCTGTCTGATTTAGTTTTCTATTTTAGATATTTCTTGTGATTCTTATTTTCTTCATTGCTTAATTTGTTTATAATATAGTATTCTATATTAGTTTTACTTAGCAATTTATATATATATGTGTGTGTATATATATATGGGCTAAGAATTATAGGGTTTGGTCTGTTAATTTGTGGTTAGGAATTTTCTTTGCGTACTACGGGATGTGCTATAAACATCTTCCGTCCATGCCTTATGCCATCTTAAAGCTATTTTTCTGAGAAAATAATGAAATGTTGACATAGGCATACTTTATACAGTGCTGTTTTATATATATACATATACTTATCTATACATATATTTAATAATTATCTATTAATCAACTAGCAGAAATGTAGCTGTTAGTACGTAGATTTCTGTATGTTATATACCTAACCTAGTATCAGTAGTATCTCTGCTTGACCTAGTCCCAAGGGATCTTATTTCTAGCTAATTACTCTACTTTAAATTTATCTGCAATGTAGTTGTTTTGCTCCTCTCAGTATAATATAGTTACAAATAGTAGCTTTTGAGCCCATCTTAGGGAATGGTTGAAAGGAAAGAGACTAATTATGAAGGCAAAATCTTCTTTTTTTCAGAGGCTTGGGAACTTAAGAAGGGAATAATGAGATACTAAAAAAATGTATTTAATTTTATTTCCCTCTAATTTTGAGGATTTTATTTAAGTAAAAGGTTAAAGTGGATTTCACTAAGGTATTTTCTTCCATCAGTATTTATTATAGCTGTATTTCTTCACTCAAATGTGTTTCTTTCTCTGGAAACGTTCTTCTTCTTATCTTTGTCATTGCCTGTACCCTAATTTAACTTCATTTAGAACAGCATATTTCTCTACCATCTGATGCTTACCTTGTAACTTAATATTTTTTAAGTGATTTATAGTAACTTGATTGTAATTCTGATTAGCTTTGCCTTAAAACCTCAATACTGGGCCAGATTATTTCTTGATTTTTTACTTTTTTTTATTTTTACTATCTTGAATGGAATATTTTACAGGAAGAGATGTACATGAAAGAAGTTTAAAACTCTTGCTTCACAGAAATATAAACTGGTAGAATAACTTTGATGACCCAAACTGTATTTTGTTATTCTTTAATGAAGTTTCCATATTGTTTTAGGGTAGACTTTTTTGCATGCTAAAATAAGATAACACTTGTTAGATTAAAGAGAACCAATCTTTGAAACTCATTTTAATTTCAGAATTTGATGAATTTCATTCATCTTTCATTGGTCTTAAGTATTTAATTCTGTTACATCCTCTGAATACTACTTCATTTTCTATTCCAAGAGCATCTTTCTTCTCCTTAATTTTAAAAATATAGATTTTATATTTGTTGCACATAATTTTCTTAATCCTTTTCTAACACTTGGCAAGGTTCATATCTCCTTGTTTACAAAATAAAAATGTATTTTGTTTACAAAATAAAAATCTATATATAACCAGAAGGAGAGATTTTTGTTTAGTTGTGTTATTATAACGTAGTTTACATAAATTAATCATGTTAGTGATTATAAGATTAATTTGATATGCATTTACTTCTATTTACTTGCATTTGCTTCTATTGAATACTACATTTGTGAGAGAACCAAGGTGTACCTTTCATGTTTTGTGGCTGAGCAATAATGTAATATCTCTAATTTCTGTTCAGGTTGGGCATGTCAAGAGAGGAATCTATGAAGCTCACTTCTAGACCAAACAATGATGGAGCTGAAAGTAGTTCCTCATGTGGGACCTCTGGCCTTCCGGGTTCTTCTGCACAGACTGCCTTGGAAGAACAACAGCCAAAAAGCATGAAAAGCCCAGATTCTCCAGAGCCCATTTTCTGTGCCACTCTTTGTCCTATGGTAGAGGTTTCAGCTAAAGATGTGATGGCAGAATCAGAATCAGAGGATATCTTGATCCCGGAAGAATCTATAATTCAGGAGGAAATTGCAGAAGAGGTAGAAACTAGTATCTATGAATGCCAGGATGAAAATCACAAATTTTCTGAGGAGTCTGAAAGTCCAATCAACTCTCAAGAAGAGCCTCATATTGCAACTCCTGAAGATAACTTGGAATCTTGTGTTATGATGAATGATGTTTTAGAAACCTTACCTCATATTGAAGTTAAGATAGAAGAGAAATCAGAATCTCCCCAGGAAGAAATGTCGGTTGTTATTGATCATTTAGAAGTCTGTGACTCTCTTGTTCCTTCCACTTCATCTGTGACTCATGTCAGTGACACAGAACATAAGGAGCCAGAAACTGCAATAGAGACCAATACTCCAAAAATAAAAACAGGGTCATCTTCTCTAGAAGGCCAGTTTCCAAATGAAGGAATTTCTGTAGATATGGAGCTACAGAGTGATCCTGAAGAACAGCTTTCTGAAAATGCTTGCATCTCTGAAACTTCCTTCTCTTCTGAGAGCCCGGAGGGAGCCTGTACCAGCCTGCCATCCCCAGGAGGGGAAACCCAATCCACGTCAGAAGAATCATGTACTCCAGCCTCCCTTGAAACGACATTTTGTTCGGAGGTGTCCAGCACTGAAAATGCAGACAAATATAATCAGAGGAATTCCACTGATGAAAACCTTCATGCATCTTTGATGTCAGAAATATCTCCAATATCCACTTCCCCTGAAATATCGGAAGCATCTCTTATGTCCAACTTACCATTAACATCTGAAGCATCGCCAGTATCCAACTTACCTTTAACATCAGAAACATCACCAATGTCTGACCTACCTTTGACATCAGAAACTTCTTCAGTGTCTTCCATGCTGCTTGCCTCTGAGACCACTTTTGCATCCAGTTTGGCACTTCCTTCAGAAACATCTCCAATCTCTAATTCTTCCATAAATAATAGAATGATGCATCAACAAAGAAAGTCACCATCTGTATCTGAAGAACCACTGTCCCCACAGAAAGATGAACCTTCTGCCCAGACCAAATCCCTGGGAGAGAACCTTAACTCCCAGAAAAAGACTCTATCCAATACTCCTGAACCCATCATAATGAGTTGTTCTTCCATTGCTCCTGAAGCATTTCCATCTGAAGAATTGCACAATAAGACCCTGAGTCAGCAGCCTTGTAAATCACATGTTGACAATGAGAAATCCTACCCTGTGTCAATTCCAGAACTTCCTTCTACTGAAATTATAAAAGTTAAAAATCCTAGTGTCCTTCAAAGAACAGAAAAGAAAATAGTATCCTCACCATTGGAATTATCTGTTTTTTCTGAAGACACAGAGAGTAAGGGAAATGAGCTTCCATCAATCAAATTACAGGAAAAGCAATATGCCTCCTCAGTGGATAAGGCTTCATTTTCGGAAGGTTCTAGAAGTAAAACACATAAGCAAGGGAACACGCAGAGTCGGTTGGAGACCTTACATACTTCGAAATTGTCAGAGCCCTCCAAGTCACCTGAAGGGATAAGAAATGAAAGTAGAGATTCAGAGATATCCAAAAGGAAAACTGCAGAGCAGCACAGCTTTGGAATCTGTAAGGAAAAGAGAGCCAGGATAGAAGACGATCAGTCAACCCGGAACATATCCTCCAGCAGCCCACCTGAGAAAGAACAGCCTCCAAGAGAGGAGCCCAGGGTTCCTCCTCTCAAGGTATGGTACTTAAAAAAAAAAAAAAATATTCCATTTCCATAGATAGGCTTATCCTATTTAGAAACTTAATTTTTCAAGAAGAAATTAGGTTTTCCTCCTTCCAGGTTTTATGCAGCAATTTATTATCTAATCTGCCCGGCTACCAATCTAATAGTCAATGATCCTATTTATGACTATATATGGAACTCATACAAGAAGTTGAGACACATGCATATATTTAGACCTCAGCATTTAAGGGAAAAGACTCTGAGAGAGAGAGAACAGGGCGTGAAAAATCATGCAGGCCACTAAGACCCTGGGGCTTAAGGGTATTCCACAGCTTAGAACAGAGACGTAAGTAAACTTGGGAAAACGTGGAGAATTATTCAGTATTCAGTGAAAATTCAGTAGGACTAGGGAAAGAAGCAGTCAGAGGCCAGCATTAAGGAGATGAAGTACGTATTATCCCTTCATTCATTTTCCAACGAAGATTGAACACCACCATTGCCTTGCAGAGAGGACCTAGATATGATAGAGCCTCATTAAACATTTCTTGAATAAATCATTGAAACATCCTTATGAACCCTGAGGGAGAATGATGTATAGATAGATATACAAATCTCATTTTTTGTTTATTTCCAAGGATAATAAAGAAGCCTTTAACGTCACAAAATAATAAAGCCTTGTAGACAGATGTTTCTATTTATATACTTTCTTTTCATCCCAGGTAAATTTTAACTCTCAGAAAACAAGCCTTTTATATAAATTGGTTCTCCCTAAGTAAACTGAAAATTAAGGTTAATTCAAAAGAAACCCTTTGGGTAATTAAGAAAAGAATCTTACCCTCTTCCATTTATAGTTATTTTATGCTTTTATCGGAGCCCATTTATATTGTGGTACAATAAGGTAGATTATTTCATCATAGGATTGGTCTAGAGTTATAAACATCTTAAGCTTTTAAAAAATCTTTTTATTTTTCTCTGTTCCATCTATTTTTTTTATTTGACTCATGAGCTCCACAGGTTGACTTAATTTTAAGAGTATGATGGTAGTTACTCTAATAAAGCAGTCCCTATTAAATAAGAGTCTAGAGCTATAAAAGATTAACATAAACTCCAATTAAAAACTCACTGTGCATTTTAATTTCTGAAGCAAAGGAAAGAATAATATAAATATCCTTTTCATGGGAAATATTTTTAAAGACACTAGTCTGATTTTTTTGTCAGAGCTTATTTTCAAAGTGATATGCACTTCATTTAAAAATGGATAGATACATAAATACTACAAGCATATTTGATGTTTGTTCGGTCTTAAGCTCTTGCTTAAGGATATTCAAGTTTAATTTTTTAATGCGTTGAATTTTCTAGACTAAGAGAAATATTTAAAAGGGAAAATTAAATCCCCTCCCCAAATTCATCCCTTTTTGGCCTTTGGATTAGAAGAGAGACTTCACAAGCAGTTTTAGAATGAGAAATGAGATAGCTCAGGGAGATAGTTCCATCCATCAAAGTTCCAAAGCATAATTCTAAATTGATATGTATGATCCTCTAGGATGTGTGGATTATAATGTAAATATTACATGTGTTAGCAAAAGAGAGATAAGTGTTCTAGGAAAAGCTTTTTCTGAAGGGTGAAAAAAAGGAACCAGAATACATATAAACAGCACTGAACTGGGAGCTTAAGGACTGTGTTATTCACTGGTTATATGACCCAGGGCAGTCTACCTCCATAGGCTTGAGTTGTTTTACTATATATTGAGGGACTCTAGCTAGAGCCATTCTACTTCTACAAATCTATGACTCTAAGAATGCTCTTAGTGACTAAAGCATCACAGCATTGCTATGGGATGCCGGTTGTAAGGTCTTGTGCCTCATCAATTTGATGATGACTTTGTGAGTCTCTTAATTGGCATGAGTTAGGTGGACCGTAGGTATAAAATTCAGCAGATTGTGGGTTACCAATATCAAAAGAAACTGCCCAACCCATACTTTTGTTTAGAAGCAGAAAATCAGAGTTGCCCTTGCTTTTATGCAAAGCATTCCCATTTATGTAATGGGAACACAGTCCCTTTGGAAAACAGCACTCTCACAAATATAGTCTTATTCCATCTTTAAGACAGCTCTTTGAAGGAAATAGACCAGAAATAACTAGTCTCATTTTACAACTGAGTTTACCAACTTCTCTTGTGTTCTTATTATATATGTATAAGGCAGCATGCAAGGTGGCATGGGAGTACATAAAAACCACTGAGTTCCTGGTTCAGAGAGTTATTGGAGAAAGAGGTACAAAGTGATTTGCCTAGGATCACACAGTTCCTTTGTGTAAATTCAGAATAAGAATTCTGACTAGTTAGTTACCAACTTCTTGGTCAGGGCATTTTTCTTTGGGTCAAATTAAGACAGATAAACTCAAATAGATTCGAGGTTCCAGTTTTTCATGCCAGCAAGGAAGATAATTTAAAAACTAAATATCTCTCAAGTTTTTTTTTAGCTAACCTCATTTTAAGAAGCATGGATTTTGTTTCCATTTATATGAGGCATTTAAGAAGATGTTTCATTTCCATGCCAAATGAAGTCGCAGTTGATGTTTTTGTAGATTAAAAACTTGATTCTCACATTCATGCTACATTTCATGTTGCTTTATACCCTAAAGACCCATCCAGGGGTTTAGGTGTAGTTCATTCCACATCATGAGAGAATGCAGCTGGTCTTTTCTCTTGTATTGTCACATTCTACATGCCGCCTCTGTGATCATATATGAAGCATGTTATTTTTCTCTTCTCTCTCTCTCTCTCTCTTTTAGATACAGCTTTCCAAAATTGGGCCACCTTTTATAATCAAGAGCCAACCAGTCTCCAAACCGGAGTCTCGAGCATCCACTAGCACCTCTGTCAGTGGAGGCAGGAACACAGGAGCCAGGACTCTTGCAGATATCAAGGCCCGGGCCCAGCAAGCTCGGGCCCAGCGAGAGGCTGCTGCAGCTGCTGCTGTAGCTGCTGCAGCGAGCATCGTCTCTGGAGCGATCGGGAGCCCAGGAGAAGGTGGAAAGGCGAGAACCCTGGCACACATCAAAGAGCAGACAAAAGCTAAGCTCTTTGCAAAACATCAAGCCCGAGCCCACCTTTTCCAGACCTCTAAAGAGGCCCGATTGCCTCCGCTCAGCTCAAAGGAAGGGCCTCCAAACTTAGAAGTTTCTTCTACCCCTGAAACAAAAATGGAAGGTTCAACGGGTGTCATTATTGTCAATCCAAACTGCAGATCTCCCAGCAACAAGTCTGCACACCCCCGGGAGCCCGCCACTGTATTACAACAGTCTCTTAACCCAACTAAACTTCCAGAAACTGCCACTGACTTATCTGTGCATAGTTCTGACGAAAACATACCTGTGTCACATTTATCCGAGAAAATTGTTTCATCTACCTCTTCAGAAAATAGCAGTGTGCCCATGCTTTTTAATAAAAATTCTGTCCCTGTATCTGTTTGCAGCACTGCTATGTCGGGAACAATTAAAGAACATCCCTTTGTGAGTTCTGTTGATAAATCCTCTGTTCTAATGTCTGTTGACAGTGCAAACACTACGATTTCTGCTTGTAATATAAGCATGTTAAAAACCATCCAGGGAACTGACACTCCGTGCATAGCCATTATACCAAAATGTATTGAAAGCACTCCCATGCCGGCCACTACTGAGGGCTCTAGTGTATCGAGCTCCATGGATGATAAGCAGTTACTAATACCAAGCAGTAATGCTGGTAACTTAGTCTCCAGTCAGTACACCTCTGTGCCAACTCCCTCCATTGGAAATAGTTTGCCAAACCATCTTTCCACTAGCTCTGTCTTGATTCCCCCATCGGGAATTAACAACAGATTTCCTTCTGAGAAGATAGCCATGCCTGGGAGTGAAGAACAGGCCACTGTCTCCATGGACACCACTGTGAGAGCAGCCCTCAGCTGCAGTGATTCCGTCGTGGTCACAGACTCTCTGGTTGCACACCCACCTGTCACAATGTTTACTGGAAACATGCTAACAATAAACTCCTATGATAGTCCTCCCAAGTTAAGTGCTGAAAGCTTGGACAAAAATTCAGGGCCTCGAAACAGGGCAGACAATTCTGGGAAACCTCAGCGACCACCAGGGGGCTTCGCACCAGCAGCCATAAACAGATCAATTCCCTGTAAAGTCATAGTGGACCACAGCGCCACGCTGACCTCCAGCTTGTCTCTGACTGTCTCCATTGAAAGTGCAGAGGCCAGCGTGGACCTCCAGGGCAGGTCAGTGAGGACAGAGGCATCCATACAGCCCATGGCCTGTCCTCAGGTGTCTGTTATTAGCAGGCCCGAGCCAGTTGCAAATGAAGGCCTAGATCACGGTTCTAGTTTCATTGCCACACCTACAACGAAACAAGATTGTAAGACGTTGCAAGCCACCTGCACAAGCCTCCGAGAATTGCCCCTTGTTGTTCCGGATAAATTAAATGAGGCGACTGCTCCTAGTCACAGCTTTGCCGAGCAGGCACGTGGCCCAGCTACTTTCAAAAGTGAAGCAGACACAACCTGTAGCAATCAATACAACCCAGGTAACAGGATTTGCTGGACTGAGGATGGGATGAGGAGCACAGGACAGCCTCTGGTGAGTCACTCGGGTGCAAATAAACAAAAAGAATATCTAGATCAGAGCTGTCCAAAGGCTATCAAAACTGAACATGCCAGCTACTTGAACGTGTCAGAACTTCACCCCAGGAATCTCATAACAAACGTCACTCTTCCTGTGAAATCCGAACTTCATGAAGTGGACAAGGGCTTTAGAATGGATACTGAAGACTTCCCTGCCCCGGAGCTGCCGCCGCCTGCTGCAGAGGCAGCCTCTAGTGCACAACAAACACAGAATGTGAAAGCTCCCACCTCGAGTCCCATGGAAGAGGCGATTTCCTTGGCTCCAGACACCCTGAAAAGAGTCCCTAGCACGGGCAGCTCAAGCTGCCGACTGTCGTCGGTGGAGGCTAACAATCCACTGGTGACACAGCTACTACAGGGCAACCTGCCGTTGGAAAAAGTGTTGCCACAGCCCCGACTGGGAGCCAAGCTTGAAATCAGCAGGCTCCCTTTGCCTCTTCAAACTACCTCAGTGGGTAAAACAGCACCAGAGAGGAATGTTGTGGAAATGCCGTCCAGCTCTCCAAATCCAGATGGCAAGGGATACTTGGCAGGGACTCTCGCACCGCTACAGATGAGAAAGCGAGAAAACCACCCCAAAAAGAGGGTGGCCAGGACTGTGGGGGAGCACACTCAAGTGAAATGCGAGCCGGGGAAGCTGCTGGTGGAGCCGGATGTGAAAGGGGTGCCTTGTGTGGTCAGCGCGGGCGCGAGCCAGCTGGGGCACAGCCAGCCGTTCAAGCCAGAGTGGCTGAACAAGCACTCCATGCAGAACAGGGTCGTCCACAGCCCCGAGGTCAAGCAGCAAAAGCGGCTGCTCCCCTCGTGCAGCTTCCAGCAGAACCTGTTTCACGTGGACAAGAATGGCGGCTTCCACCCCGACGCGGGGACCTCGCACAGACAGCAGTTTTACCAAATGCCCGTGGCCGCCAGGGGCCCCGTTCCTACCGCGGCTCTGCTGCAGGCCTCTTCCAAGCCCCCAGTGGCGTGTAGCGCGTTTGCCTTCAACAGGCATCTTGAGCAGAAGGGACTGGGAGAGGTCAGTCTCCCCGCAGCACCTCACCAGCTGAGGCTAGCCAACATGCTGTCCCCCAGCATGCCCATGAAAGAAGGCGAGGAGGTGGGCGGCGCCACACATGCCATGCCAAACAAGGCTCTGGTGCAGCCGCCGCCCCCGCCGCCGCCCCCGCCGCCGCCCTTGGCTTTGCCCCCGCCGCCCCCACCGCCACCTCCACTACCTCCACCTCTCCCCAGCGCAGACGTCCCGCCCGATCAAAAACAACCGCCAGTCACCATGGAAACCACTAAGAGACTTAGTTGGCCACAGTCCACGGGCATATGTAGCAATATAAAATCGGAACCTCTTTCTTTTGAGGAAGGTTTAAGCAGCAGCTGTGAACTGGGCATGAAACAAGTTTCCTATGACCAGAATGAAATGAAAGAACAGTTAAAAGCATTTGCGCTAAAAAATGCAGATTTCTCTTCCTATTTGCTTTCTGAGCCACAAAAGCCTTTTACCCAATTAGCTGCTCAGAAAATGCAGGTGCAGCAACAACAGCAGCTCTGTGGAAATTATCCAACAATACACTTCGGTAGCACGAGCTTCAAAAGGGCGGCATCTGCCATTGAAAAGTCCATTGGGATTTTGGGAAGTGGCTCCAACCCGGCCACGGGCCTGCCAGGTCCGAATGCTCAGATGCCCATTCAGAACTTTGCCGACAGCAGCAACGCGGACGAATTGGAACTGAAATGCTCTTGCCGGCTGAAAGCCATGATTGTGTGCAAAGGCTGTGGGGCCTTCTGCCATGACGACTGCATAGGTCCTTCAAAACTGTGTGTAGCATGCCTAGTTGTACGATAAAAGCTGAGTGAAAGATGCAGTATCCCTTTTCCACACGGAAAAGCCAGACAGCATCCGCAACAACAAATTGAAAAACACGGTCATTTATATCATGCTAATTTATTTTGCTTTGGAACAGATTATCTTTTCTCTATGGGATTATTGTTTTCTTGCATTTCTCTCATAAAGGGAAGGATGCCTCCCAACCAAATGGCTTGGTGGCGTATCTTTTATGTATTTAGTTGCCATCCCCAGCTTTGGAAAATTTCTGTCTATGTGTATACAGGTCACTGCCCCATTCTTTTCTTTTTTTTTATTCTTTTAACCCCGGTGTAGATAGGAAAAGGACATTTTTCATTACTTAATGACCAGAAATGCAGATGTAGAAAGAAGTTGATAAAAGTGATTTGAAGTGGTTATGCATTTTTCTGTAGATTAGCCATTACAGCAAAGGTTTTTACAGCTGATTTTCCTGGACTTTGCCACAATTATTAAGTCATTTGAACAAGGGAATCTGATTTAAATGTGTGATTCCTTGTATTTATTCATATCCCAAAAGTTATATTAGACGAGGTGTGCCATTAATGAAATCCACTCTCCTGATTATTCTTTTTCTTCCATTTTTACTCTTTCTCAGAGACTGTGCAGAAGATCTAGATCTGCCTTGGATTTTGTGCACATATTGTAGTGAAATGTGTCCTGCACCTGAGATGGCAGCAAAGGCCTGGTGCCCAGGAATCTGATTGTAGCCATTTGACACCTGATAATGTGAGATCAGTTGGCAACAGACAGTTATAGGCCAGAGGGTTTTGGAGCTTCATGTGTGGCTTTTAAGAGCAAGTTTGAAAACAATGTCCTAAAATTAAAAGCAAAAGAATAAAATGCTGTATATGCACATATAAATGGGTTGAAAATGTAAATATTAGTCCATTATATTCACTCTAATACAATTACTAGATATTAAAATGGGGGGGGAAATAATTGTAGTCCTTCATTGGTGACACCCATGCATTCTGGCTTCTGACCTTGCAGAAGTCAGACACCTCTTTATAAAAGTGTCAGTGATAGAAGGGAGACTACCCAAGGCTGAGAAGTTGGCATTTTTCAGAAGAAATTTTTTTTCTTATGATTCACCACCTATGTCTTTGACTCTGAAATAATCCTTATTTTCAAGAATTGTTCTAGGTATGGCATAGTTTGTTTTCTCCTTCAGGTGAATCCAATAGATTCTTCATTTTTAAAGGAACTGCTTTTGAAAAAGGGATACTGCATCTTACAGTTATCTTCAGTGTTTATCCAGTAAAGTCTGAATGTTGAGTATTTGAGCTGCCATTCCATACACTTTGGCCACTCTCATGCCGGAGAACAGCTGTAGTTCAGAAGGCTCTGTTCCCAAAAGCAAGTTCAAAAGCACATGCACATTGTGGGAAGATAAAAGAAAACAAAAACCACGTCCATTTAACTTCCGATTACAGAGCACAAAATGTGGAGTGCCATTAACCCATTGATTGATTGTGGCTGTAGAATTAAAAAAAAAAAAAAAAAAAGCAAAAACATGGGGGGAAATCATCTGTATCCAGGGTAAGAGTGACAGATATTTTCACATGGGATCATCCTAATCCAAGTAAACTTTTTGACATTCCTTTAAAACACGTCTTAAAAGTTGACTGGATTGAGCAGAAATTACATTCCTGAAAAAAACGAACGCTCGTGGTTTTTTATAATAACTATGGTATATGTTTTTTCCCCTTCATATTTATTATTGTGATGTTGCCAAATTTCTTTAGGTGATAGAGACATCATTTTGAATAACAAATTGCTGATAGTGAAAGGTACTTTATCTTCATAAGAAAAAAGCCAAGAAAGGCCTGCTGCTGTGGCCCCGATTCAGTGCTTCAGTGCTTCAGAATTGTCACTTGTGTTTTTCACAGTATAATTACCAAAATTAACAACTGAGAAAGTTAGCAATGCACTTAACCGGCCCTTCCCAAGGAATGCAGCATAAGTTCCAGCATCATACCAGGCTGTACTGGGATGCCATCCTTATCAGTGGTGTCTTTATGGTCTGCTTGGCTGTGATATCTTGATTCTGAAGATCATGCTCTTAGTCTCACAGTGGGGCACCTCTATGATACAGACACTTGCATGCCAATTCCTTCTTCCAAATCCAGTCACTGCTATACCAGTGTCAGTACTGTCTACACCAGCAGATTGAAAACTACCACATCAGTAACTGACACAATGTTGAAAGAAACTGCAGTCTACAAACCCTTTGCATTCTGTATGTAAGGTATAATTGAGGCCAATGGGATACTGAGCTCATTATCAGTTCTGTCTTTGTTAAATACTGCCTGCAAGTTGCTTACTGGGAATAAAGAGAAGTGTCCTTCTGTATGTTTTGCTTTTTCCCATAATAGGTTTGGAGAATCAGTTGTTGATAGTGCATGGATTCTGTTATCCAGGTCCAAAGAACATAATTTTTCTGTGCCCTTGCTCTTTTTTGCCCCAGTTCAAATTCCTAGTGTTCTAATATCATTTATATAACTGAAAAAGTAATATCTTTTTGGCTAAAAAAGTAATGGCAAGGAAGAAGAGAAATTCAGAAGTAAAATGTGGATCAGATATTCTATAGGTGTCCATTTAATATATATACAAAAGCCAGTATATTTGAATTAGGTTAATAGGTTCTTAGTTTCCAGATTTCTACATGTGTCTGCCTATGTGCAAATGGAGTATGTTATTTACTACATGGTTATTGTGGTGTAATGTGCAAATTTTAGTATGTGCATTATCCTGATTACTGGACACTATTTTATCCCTATCAGGAATAGAACTTGCACATGCAACATGCAATTTTTGTTTTTTATCACAAAGGATGTATTTCCCTAAGTAGCACTTTTGGAGCAGGGGAAGGAAGAAAACTGCTATTCCCTAAACCCCCTCCTATATGATATGCATATGCCTGAGGTGTATAAAGACATTTAGTTAGTTAATGGGCATGTTAATAAGAGCATTTTGATGCAAATTCATTTTCAAAATGAAAATATTTTTTCTCCCCCAAAGTGAGAATAGCAGAAATTTTGGTGAACTGAGCACCATAGTTATATATGATATTTCCCTGCAAAGGTCTAGTTTGAAGAAAAAACTTGAAAACAAGCCTATGAGGTTGAGCCTGGTTGCTATAAAGACTTTAGGGTGGTATGTGTTTTGGGGATGAGCTATAGGAGGTTTAGTTGATTTCTGGACCTTGGATATTCTTACTCGGTTCAAAATAAACACGGAAACAAACCAGTGCATATGGTGCTTCCTAAGGCAGTCGAGAGTAAGAATATAGGTTGCTGCAGCCCCATTTCCTTTACAAACATTCAACTCGCACAATTTAAAAAGAAGCAGTTATTGTGGCCTCTGGTTTTCCAATCCCTCCGTGAAGGTGAAATTCCAGGTTTTGGAAGCTGAAGCCAAGCTTAGGGTCGCATGGTCTTCTATGGTGTTGAGGCGCCCAGCACAGCAGTAGCTGCCTGGTGGGAGTGACTCCTCTGAGCATGCAGAGCCCAGAGTCAATGTCCATCTGTGTTCCCAGAGAACAATGTGAAGGGTCCTAGAATGGGAACTCGTCAGACTGTCAGGGGCCTATGTAGCCAAAATGTCACTGAATATAAAAATCCTGTCGTCTTCAGTCCTCATGCTTTGTCACTGTAAAACAAACAAAAAGCATTTTTACTATAATTTAAAGGAGCTGCTTTTTTATAGCACATACTATTTCGCTTTGTACTATATTTGATAGTTGCAGAATAATTTAGACTGTAGAAAAACTCTGTTGTATTTGTACTGTTCATGAATGTTTCAAAGAAAGTGCTTTACTTGGTTGCCATAATTTTCTTGTACTGCTGTATTCCCCTCGCTTCATGGAAACCTAATCTGATTCATATTTTCAGTAGTTTTTTTTTTTTTTTTTTTATGGGTGTTTGAGTGTATTTTTTTTTTTTTTTGGTCAGTATTCTGAATGTTTACATCTGTTTGACATTAGCCATTTAATGCCTTTTTTAAAAGGCGGTATTACTCCTACAGTGTAACAGCAAAATGTGAAATCAACCCAAACATAACATGCATGACAAACACAGATTGGGGGCAAAGGCCCTGAACATACATAGACATTTTATATCAGCATACAGAAAAGTAAAATCCTCCTTCAGTCCTCTACCAAAGAATATATTAATCCCACAGGAAAAACTCAGAAAAGGTGTGTAAAATCCTCAGAAGGAGGAGCAGTTGATTCAGTGAGACTGCTACAATTTAATACTGTTACGCTTGCTTTGATACCTGACTAAATGTGACTGAGTGCAACAAGCATTTAAAAAATTTTTAGACAGTGTTTGTTTAGAATTCAGGGATCATGCATTCTTTAATGGTGCTGTTTGTTTTTTATTTCTTTTCTACAAAGAAAACAAGTGTTGCCTACAAAAGTGACTGCTCACAATACCATAAGTTAAATGAAATGAAATGTTTGTCTCTTCATGTTTCTCTGTTTTTTTTTCCCTTTCTCAAAGTAACAACTTGGGTTTCAATATTAAAATATTCTGGAGAAAATAAAGGAATCAAACATGAAATAATTGTCATTTCAGATTTTTTTAATGAAATGAAGTATTTTATATTTGTAAGATGTACTAATAGTACATGAAAAACTTAAGAAAAAATTATAGGAAAAGTTTAAAGCATATACTGTTAAATTACACTTCTTTTTGGTATGATAAATTATCAATATATGGTTATAACTATTAAAATAGTAAAAACTAAAAGTGAAACTTCAGATATTAATGGTATCTGCAATGCTTATCCTTTAAAACTTATTTGGACCTTCTTGTTTTCATTAAGATTTTTTAAATTCTTTGTGCCACAAAGTGTTCAGGTCAGACAAATTGCTAATATCATATTTAATTTTAACTTTGAATAGTACAGAAAGTGACATATTAAAAGAGTTGCTCTGGTTAATTTTTAAAAATCCTACATGAAATATCATAGGTACAGTTATTTGAATAAAATGCTGTGAACTGTTAGAATAAAACTTCCTCGGTTATAGTTACATAAGTTAAAGAAATATGTCTTTTCAGTAACATGAATCAGATAGCATGAAATATAATTGGCTGTTAAATGAGTTCAGCTGTTTTCATCTACACAGAAAATGTTGTCTTTAGCCACCAGATGGCGAAAGAGGATATTTACTTTTGGAGGAAAATAAAAAGAATAAAACATTCTTTTTCCTCCCAAAACTAAAATAATAAAAGCCTAACTTATTCAAGTAAGTCAGAGGATGGATATTTCTAAGTTTCATTATTTTTGCTACAATGATGTTCCTCTTTTGTTACACTGTTTTTATTTTCTATTAAGATATTTACAAAATGCTTTTAAATTTTTATTTAGAATTGCAGAGGTTTTTTTTTTTATTTTTTTTCATTTCTTTACTCCACAGGCATTATCTAGCCTGAAGTGCGTTAGATAAAACTGAACATCCAGCGTTCTTTAACCTGACATTTGTTGAAACTGATCTGAATGCTTTATGTTTTGATTCATTTATTTTCATGAAATGAGTACAATTATACAATCTTTATATAAATATCCCATAATTTTTAATACATGAATGTGGCCTAATTTGAGTAATAATCTCCCTTAGTATCTAAAGTATTAATTTGTATCTGTCCATAGCCATTACCTAAGAACAAGTGATTTATCCAGTGATTTGTCAGTTTTCACATAGATACTTTATTGTAATCAAAGATAATTATGTTATTTAGAAGGAACCCAGCCACGAGCATAGTTGATACAATAATTTGAGGTTGCTTTCTGCAGAAGACAATTCAACATAAATCCTAGAAAGTGTTTCCCACTCCATAAAATTATTTGAAGTCTTTGGTTATAGATCACCTAGACTTAATATTTCAAGTCAGAGCACACACAATTATTCACAGTGATCTGCAAAAATGAAAAGTTTAAATCGAATGTCATAGCCAATCTGGAAGTCTAAATTGGGCAATAAACCAAGCCTTCCCTACAGAAACTTTTATTCAAGTTTCCAATGTCATTGATTACAATATACTTTCACTACTTAAAATCATCTGATTTACAAAATAAGACTGAAATTTTTACCACTTTATTTAAAATAATCAGTTTTATTTTAAGTTTTGTAGCTATTGTAAATATTCTGTTGTGATAGCTGACTATAAGAAAAGCTGGTATTAAAAATATTTCGCCATCTTATAAGTCATTGGCAAATCCAGACAGATGATAGTTGAATCGAAAGACAGGGCCCTATTATAAATCAGTGAGCACTAAGTGACAATTAGTTTCATGAATGAAGAGGTTCCTGGAATCTGCTTTTGTCAACAGTTAGGATGTATATTTAATATATTCATTGCATTTATGGGAAAGTTGGTTTCCGAGGTACTTACTATTATTAAGCTAAAATTACTATCCACAGTCTCATTTTTAATTTTTATTTTTAATTATAAATTTGCAAATTATATATATTTATAGGGTAAAAAGTGATATGAATTATGAATACAATGTAGAATAAATCAAGCTAGTTAACATATCACCTCAAATACTGTTTTTTGGTGAGAACATTTGCAATTCTTAGCAATTTTGAAATGTACCTTATTCACCATGCTGTGCAATATATCTCAAAGCTTAAAAAACTTGTTTTTCCTCATTGAGGCTTTGTACTGTTTGACCATCATCTCCCCGTATATATGTATTTATATAAGGAAATCATTCAGAGGTGGTTCAAAGGTCAGCTTTAACTCAAACACAGTCAAATGTCTAGGAGTTTCCTTTTTTTGCTTTCTCCAAGTAGATTGTCCACTGGATGCTCCTCATAAATAACAACTTAGCCAAAGACTGGAAGCATTAATTGCTTTAAAACAAAGTTCCAGACACTTGCAGTTGCATAAGATCCATCTCATCTTCTGGGGCCTCATCACAAAGTCTTTATTACTTTTATTGAAAATTTGTAAATGGAAAATAGGTTTCACCTTTGATCTCAACTTATATCTCTGGTTTCAAATTATAATTTTTATTTCAGGAAAATACTGTGTTCAGAATCCTTATTCTTCAATGAAGAAGGAATACAGAGGTATGAAGAACTATGGTTCTTTTTTCCTTGATTCCTGTGGCTTTCAATATGCGATTCTGGGATGTTATTGCATCTTTCAGATATGTGAAAGCATGACTGGCCTTAGTAACTATTGGAAGCATATGAACTTTTTCTGAAATTTCTCTCCTATATAAAAGTTACAACATTTATGTATGTCCGTTTATATGGAACATTTCTTACTGTAATATAAACTTCATTTGCTAATCAAGTTAAATCTCAAAATGAGGGGTTTGAAAGGCTTGGTATATGAATAGGAACAGTTTTCTATGATGGCTTGTAAATAGATGCCACTATCACACTTTACGCTCCTCTTCTTTTAATCATCGGCTCAATGTAGGTTTTTTTTAGTACATGAATTTATGTCTTTACAGGAAGGCAAATAAAAATGATGGAAAATTACTGGATATCTTAAAAAGCACCATTCAACATATTAAAAAGCTTTTAGAAACTATATTCAGAGTAGGAATCTATGGATAAGTTATTATTTTTAACCTACAAATACCTAATATTCTCACTGCCAGAGGGCCAGTTCAGAGCAGATCATAAGCTTTTTGAGTATCAGAAAGACACTGTAAGATTGGTAGGAGGCAGTTTCTTTTTCCTTCATATTTTGATATTGGAAAGATTCTTTGGGGGCAAGTGTTCTGTCCAAAAAGCTTTGCTTGGCAAAAACTTACAATAATGAAGGATACTATTCCCTACAATCCCAGTTTTATAATTGTGACTCAGTAATAAATATCATTCCTACAAAAATGAAGTTAAAGACAACTTCATGATCTGACCATGGAGATTTTACAAGTTCCCTTCATGTAGATAAAATTTTAAGGGTTTTAACTATATATTACAGCAGATATGGCAAGTTCCCAGGGTTATTTCAAAAAGCCGGACTGTCTTTCTAAAACATAATAGTAATTGATAATATTAGGGAAATGGTAAGTACCAAGTACTGCAAAGCATTTTACAAATATTATCACATTTATTCCTAGAAAAACTCTATAAGGTCAATACTGCTGTAATACATATGTAATCAATAAGAAAAATGATGCTTAGAATGTTTAAAGAACACTGAGCTAATATATGGGCTATAAAGAAGATTTTTCAGAAACCAAAGCCCATTCTGTTATTTACTTCAATATGCAATGGCTGCTACACAGATTCTGCTAAGTACTGGGGATTCTGAGGAAAAAGTCAGAGGGTCCTGAACCTTAAAACATTTATAGGATAGTGGGAAAGATAATAAAATAATTTTAATTTAATATGACAAGAGTATAACCAAAACATGTGCAAGGTGGAGTGAGCAAGAGAGCAGCCAAGGGAATGAAATAATTTAGGACTGCCACTGGCTGAGAATGAGCCCTTCAGAAGGGCATCTGTTTCCCTCCCCTGGCATGGATTAAAGGCAGTCCCACAGGACAGAAGGGCATGTTCTTCCCTGTTAGCATCACAACCATTTCCCTGGAACAGGGGTCATCAATAAAGACACTGTAATTCCTGATAATGATCTCTTTGAGGTATATGACAACAAAGAGATAATGATCTCTTTGAGGTTAACAACAACAACAAAAAAATTAAACTTTTAAAGAATTAAAGTAAGTTTTATTCAGAAGTCTCACTGAGGACTATAAACTGAGGACTATAGCCTGAAGGCAGTCTTTCAGAGAGGTTCTGCCAGACTACTCCAAAACAGTGTTTTAGCTCATAGCTTATAAACAGGTAGTGGAGGTTTAGTACGTGCAAAATCACATCCGAGTTTGGGTGCAAGAGTACATCTGGCTATAAATTGTAGAGGTGTAATCACTAACCCTGTCAGGGGTTATCTTACGTGTAGGGAAACGTGAGGGCTAGGGTCATTTATCTTTCAAAGAATATAGTGTCTCAGGCAAAAGATTCAAGAACCATGTGCTCTATCCTATTTTGGCTTCAAAGCATTCTTCCGGAGAGCTGCATGTTGTCACTAAGTCAGGGCTTTGTGAAATTATTCTAGCAAGCCAAAATGAGCAAACATGACTTCTTATGCTTGCTGTTCATATTTTGTCTCACAGGTCCGTTACATAGTTCAGAGCTCTGTCCCCAAGCTCTTCTTTCATGAATCTAGGAATAGGTTCGGATGTTGATAATGTTAATAATTGATTTTGTAAAAGTTGATAACATATCAAAATGATATTTGTGGTGCCTTATGTCCTTGGTGGTCATGGATTTTTTTTAATACTTTTTTTTTAAAAAATCAATATACTATATGTACTTATATGTAAAAGTCAAATAGAGACTTATAGAGACTATAGCAAAAAAATTGCAGTGCACTGATATAAACTTCAGTGTGAGCAATTAATTTTTTTAAAGGAGAAGACATTGCTTCTGACTACTCATAAGATTTATTAGGGTGTGGATAAGAAAACAAAGAGCTAGTCTTGCACATGCAAGTTGCAAGTTTGGATTGAAGTCAAGGAACTTATAAATGTT